GCTGCCATTCAGAATTTTAGGTTGAAACAGACAAATATAATGCGCCGAGTTCTAAAATTGGTGTCAGCACAAGAGGTTGAAAGGAAAAAAACTCTACCACTAGAAGAAACAGAGGATCAGATTCGACTGCGATTAGAAAACTTGTGTATGCAGCTGCAGGACCTCAAGGGATGTTTGAATGAACTAATGGCTCAGTCTATAAAGCCTGGTAGTTTTCCGCGAGCCCAACGGTATGGACTGGTTGTTGACAAAGTGCAGGATATATCACAATACCTAAAATGGCAGCAGGATGCACTTCAGGCTATAGTTAACATAAGGAAGATATACAAGTGGTCGTTAACATAAAAAAGAACATCAGCTAAGTTTTGAGAGTTAAGGAAATTGGCTAACCGTCAACCAACTTCCCCAAACAACATTCAATCATTGGTAATTAACCCTATCATTGTTTTGCTTTTAACACCTCCCTTCACCCTTTCAGGGAGGGTATGATGCTACACTGAATTTTTTGGTTCGTAACCAGCAACACGCATTGAACTGATGATATTTCACTCTCTCAGGAGGGTATGATGCTACACTGATTTTTTGTTCGTAACCCGCAACACACACATTGAATTGATGATATTCAATAAATTAAATTTTAGTCTAGTTCCTTGTTTTTTTTTTTGTTTTCCACATACAATAAGTGCACTCTGCCCATTAGGCAAAGTATTATAATAATTTTGCTAGGTATTGATGACACTGACATTTTAACAAACTTGAAATAATTGACCTAGAATGTAACAACAATGTTTGTGTTGTCTTACAGGAATAATTTAGTCAAATAAGCACAAACTGTAAACTGCCAGCTTAACCAAGAAAGCCTGCCAGTGATTGGTCAATATAAAATATTCAGCGTGTGAGGGTTAATATCAGAGTCAGTCGATTTTGCTCCAGCATGGAGGACACACCTACAATTTCCTCTCCATTAACATGTGGACAGAAACAACAAGAAGTGATAATAACAATACTAGTGTTGATGAAGAACCATTACCTTCATCATCCACGTCTTTACCTTTGGGACAAAAAGTTAATGAAGGGCGTGAGAGAGAAGAAGAGGTGAGACAAAAAAAGGAATTTGAATTAAAAATTAGCCAAATGTTAGAAACAGATGGGCATGGAAGCCGGAAAATTTTCACTCTAGAAAATTTAGCACAAGATATTGAAGTCAAAAATGCTAAATTGAAACTGACTACAAAGACATCTCATGAATATGATCTATTGTCTCGATATGTCAAAAATCTATTTGGGGATGACGTCCTAGTAACCATCGACGAAACTGAACGAAGAATGAAGCGGGGGACCAAGCGTAAACTGACCAGTGACAATCATCATCGTCATCATTCTACTACGGCTGTAACAACAACAACAGCTGATCCTGGCCGGATGTGTCGTCGTTTCATACATCAAGGGCAATTGTATGATACGATTTATGATGCACACAGAGCAGTTTGTCACGGAGAAGAAAAAAGAACTTATTTTGAAGTAAGTAAAACTATCGCTAACGTCACTCAACAATCGGTGAAACTCTTTATTTCACTCTGCCACATATGCAATTTGAAACGACTTCCTCGACGAAAAAAAGGGGTAATACGGCCCATTGTATCTGCCAGTTTTGCGGAGCGAGGACAAATGGACTTAATAAATATGCAACAAGAAGGAGGATGTGTGTATAAATATATTTTACATTCTCAGGATCATTTAACAAAGTTTTCGGTTTTACGAGCTCTTCGCAGTAAACGGGCGATTGAAGTGGCACGCCACTTACTCGATATATTTGCTCTCTTGGGAGCCCCACGAATTTTGCAGAGCGATAACGGCCGTGAATTTGTGGCCGAGGTCATTCAAGAGCTTTCAAACGAAATGTGGCCCAACATGCTCCTCATTAATAGCAAACCTCGTCATCCACAGAGCCAAGGGAGTATTGAACGTGCGAATGGGGATGTAATCAAAATGCTTGACAGTTGGATGTGTGAAAATCAAACGCGAGATTGGTCAGCTGGACTTCCCTTTGTGCAATTCACCAAAAACACAGCATATTCACGTGGAATTGGCATATCGCCTTACAAGGCAGTTTTTGGTATAGAACCGCGAATAGTTATGAAGATTCGTCTTTCGCCCTCAATATATAGCCAATTGTTCAATAACTGTCACTATGATGACAATGAAGAAGAAGAAGACAAAGAGGATGAAGAAAAGAGGCAAAGAAGCAAATGATCCTCAGGTAAAATTCCTTAATATTTATTGGTTTTGTTTTCAGTTCAACCTTGGAAAACAAGAGTCCTCAATTAATTTCTGTATACTAAAATATTTTTTTTATATAATTGCAGTATTCCCTGTCATCAAGTCCGCTGCTGCATCAGATTTCTTCACCGTTGCCAGACATGGAAGAAATAATTTTTGATGAGGTTGAGGAGGTTACTGTTACTGTTTCTGCTGGTGCTACAACTGCCTCTACTTCCATATTATCCCTGCCACAAATACCGCCACCTTCATTACCCCCTATATTATCACCACCAACACCATCACCTGGTATTGTGCTGTCGCCTGAAGTAATAATGAATAGAAGATTATGTAATTTAGAAGATGGTAAACCTAATGATAATAATTCTGAAGTAAATAACGATTCATATAATTTACATATTGAAAATTTAGGAACTATTAGAAGCAAAGTTTATGAGCGTCAGATAACTAATGCCTCCAAAATCTTACAATTGTCATCGGCAAATGTAACACCTGTTAGCCTATATGATGCTGTTAATGTGATAATACCTAAAGAAGATAGGGAAAACAAAACAGGAATGCGAACAATCAGTGGAATTATCATCGAAATAGACAATGAAAGAGATTTATATCGTGTAGCTAAAAAATTTGGAACGATTAACCAATATCTGTCAAGAAACGATTTTGATAAAACAATCAAAAGAATAATGCCAAACGAAATTAATAAGAATTAACAACTTGGGCTTCGTGAGATTGACGTAGACAATCAAATTACTTTCTCAGTGATAATAGATACCTGAAACAATTAGTATGCCACTGTAAACTTTTATCCTGTTTAAATCATAGATGTATTTGCAAAAGAAATAATCAGAAATGTACCAAAAAATGCCGGCATAATGAAAATTTATGGAAAAACTCGTAGCAACAAAAAATAAAATGCCATTTCACTCGTTTTTCAATATATATATGGTTGGCTTGGTTTAAACGCACATCAATAAAGAATTATATTTTGTATTTGGGCTTATTATTTATTACCAGTTCACAAACTGTTATTTTGATTGATTCTGACAGAGTATTGAACACAGGTGAGGAGACTAAAAATAATCTAATGAACTCAGCCTTATTAGGTAAATGGGGTCTTTCTTGCACAGTAGGCCGAGACGTTTGTTCTCTGGCATAGAACGTACTTCTCAGCCACTATGCAAAAAAGACCCCATTTGCCTAATAAGGCCGAGTGATTTTCTTGTTGTGTTAGTTTATTTAAGTTAATTCGTTTTAACTCAAATATAAACAAATTAACTTAAACATGAAAGTTGTAGGCCAAGTGCGACGTCCCCTAAAGCCTATAAAAAATTAGAGGTCATTCATACAATTAACTACAGTATTTGGAGGAGCCACTTTGCAATTTCCGAGAACACACCAGATTACATCAGTCTTCTGAATTACAAAAACGTTTCCTCTGGGGAAGAGCAAATGAGTATATATGACAGGAAGGATTTTGATATTTCGAGTCAGTAACCCAAGACAGACATATGGGCTGAATAAGTATTGGTCATCATTATTTGATATTATATAACCATCAATTAGGTTATGACTGAATCTATCAAATATCTGAGACTCGTATACGAGACCAACTGGCTCATAACACTTTACACACTGTGGATACTTATTTATTTGCCCACTCCTCCTGCGAGTACAACTCCATCTTTTCTTTAAGGCTCCCATGACATAAGTTTTTTCGTCCATATTCTGATTACTGGTTCCTAAAGCCATTACGCCTAAGGTTATAGGCTCTTTCAATATTTCAGCCCTTTTATAACCAAATTTGTATAATATCAGCGAAGGTACACAGAGACCAATGGGAATTTTCTTGCCTTGTTATTTACATTTTATAGTCCTCTTTGCAGTACCTTCCCTTTCATGTAATGTCATTGAAGAAGCATTACAAAGGTCGGGTATTTTTAACCTCTCGAATATTGAAAGAAATGGAATATTATACTCATCTTCATTAAACCACTCACAGATTTTTCGTTTCCTTTTAATTTCAAAACGGGGATGAATAAATGTCAACCATAGATCTACTGGATACAATTTACAAACTTTTTGATCTGTTTTAAATGAAGGAAAAATTCCACATCTTTCGGCATCAGTATCCATAGTTTTTATTACTTCATAAAATCTCCCAACAATATCGGAAACGTTGGGAGGTTCTCCATTGTCGAGGGTACCATTTGCAACTGTGAACTTTGATGTAATTTGTTCTTTCCAGGTAATGTAGTTTTTAGGTAGCAATACTCGTATTGACGGAGACTCAATGAAGTATATCAATACTGGTACATCTTCCGGATGTATTAATTCAGCGATTGCTATGAACCCTCCTTTTTTTGTTTTTTCATTCTTTGCAAGTGTATAACCTGAATATTCGATGGGAATGAAGTTTGAAAGTTTATCAACAAGCCAGTCCTTCCCAATGAGGCAATATATTTTAATATCTTTATAATTGTTCAACACGCCTAATGTGGCAGAGGCATATTCTCCACAAATGGCAGCTGATCCTCTTGCTTGACCAATTATGTAGCTGGCAAGTTTCATTTTAGGGGTATGGATTGAAATCATAATAGTAATCTTACCTAATAAAAAATATCTATATCCTTTTATAATGAAAAAATATAAAAAAAAAATCCACTACCTGTTAACAGGTAGAATTAGCTATGTTATCATCAGTGCCAACCAGGCAAAGGACCACACGAGATTGAACAAATGGGAAAAAGTTTATTTAACCCTGAATGCCCCACCTGGACTTAATCAAGCCTTGTTATACTTTTAAAAACATTAAAATCGAGTCGGCAGAACATCAAAGCCCCCAAAACATAAACGTATATAATAATAATTAATAATTACTTGTTTTATATAATAAAAATAATTACTTGCTGTTTTCCGTTTTTGGGGTATACGGTTGGTTTGGTTTAATAATACACATCAATAAAGCCAACTATTCAAGGTTCGATTTGTATAATGAACAGGAGCAATATCCTCCCAAAATATATATAAAGAAGTGTGCGACCAAGAAAATCAGTCATTAATCCTATAAATTAAGGTAATGGATTGGAATCAATTATTATTATTATTATTAATTTTGACCGTAAGAAAAATTACTACTGTTTGTTTTGCTCATTCTATAATTCCATGGGCTCCATTATCTATTAAAAGTCCATACATGACATTTATAAATGACCCATTCCATCCTACATGGCAAACAAGACATCAACAATCAAAAACAAAATTATTTAAAGAAATAGTAATGATCCCAACTGTTTATAATATTTCATTTTCAATAACATGTGGTGCATGTTATACGTACTCTTATTTCTTATATCCAAAATTAACCATAAATGTAGATATAAATGAAGAAACAGAGGGACGCTTATTATACGAAACTTTTCCAGATCCTAATAAATACTATATAGGATGTAAAATATATGAATGTAAAATGACCACGGTTAAGATTAAATTAAATAACCCTTTGGAAACATTAGAGGGAAGAATAATTTGTCATTTGAATCGTGGTATCCAACATACTAAAGAAATTCTACTCTTTAAAGGAATAAGTAGAGTACAAATACGTAAAGTAGAAAACAAGAAGTGTGCACTTCCTATTAACTTAACATTGTTGAATTCTTTCATTTCAAGCCGAACTTTTAGTAAAAATGAAGATATTTGCTATATATATCCGATAGTAAGTAGTACTAGATCGTTTCTTTTCCAAGAGGAAACACAGTTATTAGTATACCAGATTAACTATACACATCATCATGTTGGATTATCTCAAGAATTGTGTTTTAAATTCCAATGGTTGTTTTTGGTTTTGGGTTTGGGGCATTTTTGATACATTAGACATTGATAAAGAAATAGTGTAAGTTTTTGATGGGATGTTGATGTTTATTAACACAAATTTATTTTAAAGTGGTTCGGGAAGTTCGTATGAAATATACTCTCCTATTTCTTCCTGCCTTTTTTTTTTTTTTTTAGTTTTAACACATGTAATATAATATAATTGAATAATTAATAAACTTACTGAAATTATAATTATTATTATACTCAAAACAAACAAATATTGATGCATATAGGTAATAGCATGCGAATCAATACTTTTTTTTACAATTACCAATACACTGTGCTATATAGTGTCCCATTTAAATCTTCTTGAAGAACTTTAAGTATAGGACGAGTCTTATTATATGTTGTGGACCTCCCTGAAGTCCATTGGGCCAAATATTATATACGAGTATCGGATTACATAATACTCGCCGCAGCTTCGAGACCTGAGCTCTTCGTCGCTGGCCACTAGATTGTCCTCAAAGAATAAAATGGATGTGATAGCTCCTTACTCCCTCAGTCTACCTCGTAGTTCACACCCAGTGACAACATGTGTTTAAACCCTTGAAGAAATCCATTCAGTATAGTGAGTGAAGTCGTATTCTCGTCGTTCCTTCTTAAGGGTTATAGTATTAATTTTTTTTTTTTTGTGTGTGTAATTTTTGTAATTTTTGTGATAAATAATTGTCTAAAATTGAATTTTATGGAATGCCTAGGGATATAAAAATTACAATGTAAAGTTTACCAGCAATGAATATTGTTTCTCAATGATCATAGGGTTCATTTTTTCTTTTTTATAGTTTGGATGTTTATAAACTAATTTAATAATGGTCTGATGTAACAACCTTTATCCCTAAAAAAATTTTAGGACCCCAGTACTAAGCGGCTCATCAATCATCTGAACATGGCGCATGTTGGACCTGACACACAGCCCTCTTCCAACCCAGACCAGAAAATCCCATATATATATATATTTATATAATATATATATATATATTTATATAATATATATATATATATTTATATAATATATATATATATTTATATAATATATATATATATATATATAATATATATATTTATATAATATATATATTATATTTATATATATTTATATATGCGAACAAGCCTGAATGGTCCCCAGGAATAGTCTAAATATTCTGAAGTTCAGAATACATCTTCACTCCTTCTGAAGATGTATTAATATACGAAAATATATATATAATATATATATATAATATATTATATATATATATATATATATATATATATATATATATATATATATATACCGTCTAGGAGAGATTCAACGTGCATCTACCACTGACACCTTTAGTCATATGTTAAGAGCATCATACAATCCAATTTTTAAGGTAAGCCTTATTATAGCTTGCACCAATCTATTTCATGGGATTTGATATCAGGTTGGCTTAAATAATCAAATTAGCTTAAAAGGGACATTGTTAATGGAACGTTTTTGACAGACAGTCAGGTAGATAGCCAGACCGAGACAAAAATTCCTACTTTTTCTGTTTCAGAATTTGTTTATTGAACAGATTATTCCAATGTTGACTTTAACTGAACAACAAATGAAGAAATATCTTGATACGCCGCAAAGAGGTAAATGATTCTGATATGACCAATCCATCTACTTATCGTGACATAATGACAAAAGTGAAGATATTACGGGGTATTTTTTATTGTACCTACATTTGTGGAATTAAAAATCAAAATGAATTATTTATTGTTTATAGGAATTGATCCAGCATTGTGGGAACCGGGCAAGCGAAAAAATCCTGACCCAAAGAAATTGATACCTGTTGTAAAAGTGGGATTTCAGGAATTACAGAAACAGTTAAAGTATCAAGAAGAATATGGCAATAAACTTCATAATAGTATGAAGAATATCATGGATGATATAAGACTATTAAGTTGTATGCAGACGACAATTAAAGCTGCCATTCAGAATTTTAGGTTGAAACAGACAAATATAATGCGCCGAGTTCTAAAATTGGTGTCGGCACAAGAGGTTGAAAGGAAAAAAACTCTACCACTAGAAGAAACAGAGGATCAGATTCGACTGCGATTAGAAAACTTGTGTACACAGCTGCAGGACCTCAAGGGATGTTTGAATGAACTAATGGCTCAGTCTATAAAGCCTGGTAGTTTTCCGCGAGCCCAACGGTATGGACTGGTTGTTGACAAAGTGCAGGATATATCACAATACCTAAAATGGCAGCAGGATGCACTTCAGGCTATAGTTAACATACTTAAGGAAGATATACAAGTGGTCGTTAACATAAAAAAGAACATCAGCTAAGTTTTGAGAGTTAAGGAAATTGGCTAACCGTCAACCAACTTCCCCAAACAACATTCAATCATTGGTAATTAACCCTATCATTGTTTTGCTTTTAACACCTCCCTTCACCCTTTCAGGGAGGGTATGATGCTACACTGAATTTTTTGGTTCGTAACCAGCAACACACATTGAACTGATGATATTTCACTCTCTCAGGAGGGTATGATGCTACACTGATTTTTTGTTCGTAACCCGCAACACACACATTGAATTGATGATATTCAATAAATTAAATTTTAGTCTAGTTCCTTGTTTTTTTTTTTTGTTTTCCACATACAATAAGTGCACTCTGCCCATTAGGCAAAGTATTATAATAATTTTGCTAGGTATTGATGACAGACATTTTAACTTGAAATAATTGACCTAGAATGTAACAACAATGTTTGTGTTGTCTTACAGGAATAATTTAGTCAAATAAGCACAAACTGTAAACTGCCAGCTTAATCAAGAAAGCCTGCCAGTGATTGGTCAATATAAAATATTCAGCGTGTGAGGGTTAATATCAGAGTCAGTCGATTTTGCTCCAGCATGGAGGACACACCTACAATTTCCTCTCCATTAACATGTGGACAGAAACAACAAGAAAGAAGTGATAATAACAATACTAGTGTTGATGAAGAACCATTACCTTCATCATCCACGTCTTTACCTTTGGGACAAAAAGTTAATGAAGGGCGTGAGAGAGAAGAAGAGGTGAGACAAAAAAAGGAATTTGAATTAAAAATTAGCCAAATGTTAGAAACAGATGGGCATGGAAGCCGGAAAATTTTCACTCGAGAAAATTTAGCACAAGATATTGAAGTCAAAAATGCTAAATTGAAACTGACTACAAAGACATCTCATGAATATGATCTATTGTCTCGATATGATGTCAAAAATCTATTTGGGGATGACGTCCTAGTAACCATCGACGAAACTGAACGAAGAATGAAGCGGGGGACCAAGCGTAAACTGACCAGTGACAATCATCATCGTCATCATTCTACTACGGCTGTAACAACAACAACAACAACAACAACAGGAACAGCTGATCCTGGCCGGATGTGTCGTCGTTTCATACATCAAGGGCAATTGTATGATACGATTTATGATGCACACAGAGCAGTTTGTCACGGAGGAGAAAAAAGAACTTATTTTGAAGTAAGTAAAACTATCGCTAACGTCACTCAACAATCGGTGAAACTCTTTATTTCACTCTGCCACATATGCAATTTGAAACGACTTCCTCGACGAAAAAAAGGGGTAATACGGCCCATTGTATCTGCCAGTTTTGCGGAGCGAGGACAAATGGACTTAATAAATATGCAACAAGAAGGAGGATGTGTGTAAATATATTTTACATTATCAGGATCATTTAACAAAGTTTTCGGTTTTACGAGCTCTTCGCAGTAAACGGGCGATTGAAGTGGCACGCCACTTACTCGATATATTTGCTCTCTTGGGAGCCCCACGAATTTTGCAGAGCGATAACGGCCGTGAATTTGTGGCCGAGGTCATTCAAGAGCTTTCAAACGAAATGTGGCCCAACATGCTCCTCATTAATAGCAAACCTCGTCATCCACAGAGCCAAGGGAGTATTGAACGTGCGAATGGGGATGTAATCAAAATGCTTGGCAGTTGGATGTGTGAAAATCAAACGCGAGATTGGTCAGCTGGACTTCCCTTTGTGCAATTCACCAAAAACACAGCATATTCACGTGGAATTGGCATATCGCCTTACAAGGCAGTTTTTGGTATAGAACCGCCAATAGTTATGAAGATTCGTCTTTCGCCCTCAATATATAGCCAATTGTTCAATAACTGTCACTATGATGACAATGAAGAAGAAGAAGAAGACAAAGAGGATGAAGAAAAAAGAGGCAAAGAAGCAAATGATCCTCAGGTAAAATTCCTTAATATTTATTGGTTTTGTTTTCAGTTCAACCTTGGAAAACAAGAGTCCTCAATTAATTTCTGTATACTAAAATATTTTTTTTTTTTATAATTGCAGTATTCCCTGTCATCAAGTCCGCTGCTGCATCAGATTTCTTCACCGTTGCCAGACATGGAAGAAATAATTTTTGATGAGGTTGAGGAGGTTACTGTTACTGTTTCTGCTGGTGCTACAACTGCCTCTACTTCCATATTATCCCTGCCACAAATACCGCCACCTTCATTACCCCCTATTGTGCTGTCGCCTGAAGTAATAATGAATAGAAGATTATGTAATTTAGAAGATGGTAAACCTAATGATAATAATTCTGAAGTAAATAACGATTCATATAATTTACATATTGAAAATTTAGGAACTATTAGAAGCAAAGTTTATGAGCGTCAGATAACTAATGCCTCCAAAATGTTACAATTGTCATCGGCAAATGTAACACCTGTTAGCCTATATGATGCTGTTAATGTGATAATACCTAAAGAAGATAGGGAAAACAAAACAGGAATGCGAACAATCAGTGGAATTATCATCGAAATAGACAATGAAAGAGATTTATATCGTGTAGCTAAAAAATTTGGAACGATTAACCAATATCTATCAAGAAACGATTTTGATAAAACAATCAAAAGAATAATGCCAAACGAAATTAATAAGAATTAACAACTTGGGCTTCGTGAGATTGACGTAGACAATCAAATTACTTTCTCAGTGATAATAGATACCTGAAACAATTAGTATGCCACTGTAAACTTTTATCCTGTTTAAATCATAGATGTATTTGCAAAAGAAATAATCAGAAATGTACCAAAAAATGCCGGCATAATGAAAATTTATGTAAAAACTCGTAGCACCAAAAAATAAAATGCCATTTCACTCGTTTTTCAATATATATATGGTTGGTTTGGTTTAAACGCACATCAATAAAGAATTATATTTTGTATTTGGGCTTATTATTTATTACCAGTTCACAAACTGTTATTTTGATTGATTCTGACAGAGTATTGAACACAGGTGAGGAGACTAAAAATAATCTAATGAACTCAGCCTTATTAGGTAAATGGGGTCTTTCTTGCACAGTAGGCCGAGACGTTTGTTCTCTGGTATAGAACGTACTTCTCAGCCACTATGCAAAAAAGACCCCATTTGCCTAATAAGGCAGAGTGATTTTCTTGTTGTTGTTAGTTTAAGTTAATTCGTTTTAACTCAAATATAAACAAATTAACTTAAACAAACATGAAAGTTGTAGGCCAAGTGCGACGTCCCCTAAAGCCTATAAAAAATTAGAGGTCATTCATACAATTAACTATAGTATTTGGAGGAGCCACTTTGCAATTTCCGAGAACACACCAGATTACATCAGACTTCTGAATTACAAAAACGTTTCCTCTGGGGAAGAGCAAATGAGTATATATGACAGGAAGGATTTTGATATTTCGAGTCAGTAACCCAAGACAGACATATGGGCTGAATAAGTATTGGTCATCATTATTTGATATTATATAACCATCAATTAGGTTATGACTGAATCTATCAAATATCTGAGACTCGTATACGAGACCAACTGGCTCATAACACTTTACACACTGTGGATACTTATTTATTTGCCCACTCCTCCTGCGAGTACAACTCCATCTTTTCTTTAAGGCTCCCATGACAAGTTTTTTCGTCCATATTCTGATTACTGGTTCCTAAAGCCATTACGCCTAAGGTTATAGGCTCTTTCAATATTTCAGCCCTTTTATAACCAAATTTGTATAATATCAGCGAAGGTACAGAGAGACCAATGGGAATTTTCTTGCCTTGTTATTTACATTTTATAGTCCTCTTTGCAGTACCTTCCCTTTCATGTAATGTCATTGAAGAAGCATTACAAAGGTCGGGTATTTTTAACCTCTCGAATATTGAAAGAAATGGAATATTATACTCATCTTCATTAACCACTCAGATTTTTCGTTTCCTTTTAATTTCAAAACGGGGATGAATAAATGTCAACCTTAGATCTACTGGATACAATTTACAAACTTTTTGATCTGTTTTAAATGAAGGAAAAATTCCACATCTTTCGGCATCAGTATCCATAGTTTTTATTACTTCTTCATAAAATCTCCCAACAATATCGGAAACGTTGGGAGGTTCTCCATTGTCGAGGGTACCATTTGCAACTGTGAACTTTGATGTAATTTGTTCTTTCCAGGTAATGTAGTTTTTAGGTAGCAATACTCGTATTGACGGAGACTCAATGAAGTATATCAATACTGGTACATCTTCCGGATGTATTAATTCAGCGATTGCTATGAACCCTCCTTTTTTTGTTTTTCCATTCTTTGCAAGTGTATAACCTGAATATTCGATGGGAATGAAGTTTGAAAGTTTATCAACAAGCCAGTCCTTCCCAATGAGGCAATATATTTTAATATCTTTATAATTGTTCAACACGCCTAATGTGGCAGAGGCATATTCTCCACAAATGGCAGCTGATCCTCTTGCTTGACCAATTATGTAGCTGGCAAGTTTCATTTTAGGGGTATGGATTGAAATGATAATAGTAATCTTACCTAATAAAAAATATCTATATCCTTTTATAATGAAAAAAAAAAAAAAAAAAATCCACTACCTGTTAACAGGTAGAATTAGCTATGTTATCATCAGTGCCAACCAGGCAAAGGACCACACGAGATTGAACAAATGGGAAAAAGTTTATTTAACCCTGAATGCCCCACCTGGACGTAATCAAGCCTTGTTATACTTTTAAAAACATTAAAATCGAGTCGGCAGAACATCAAAGCCCCCAAAACATAAACGTATATAATAATAATTAATAATTACTTGTTTTATATAATAAAAATAATTACTTGCTGTTTTCCGTTTTTGGGGTATACGGTTGGTTTGGTTTAATAATACACATCAATAAAGCCAACTATTCAAGGTTCGATTTGTATAATGAACAGGAGCAATATCCTCCCAATATATATATAAAGAAGTGTGCGACCAAGAAAATCAGTCATTAATCCTATAAATTAAGTTAATGGATTGGAATCAATTATTATTATTATTATTATTAATTTTGACCGTAAGAAAAATTATTACTGTTTGTTTTGCTCATTCTATAATTCCATGGGCTCCATTATCTATTAAAAGTCCATACATGACATTTATAAATGACCCATTCCATCCTACATGGCAAACAAGACATCAACAATCAAAAACAAAATTATTTAAAGAAATAGTAATGATCCCAACTGTTTATAATATTTCATTTTCAATAACATGTGGTGCATGTTATACGTACTCTTATTTCTTATATCCAAAATTAACCATAAATGTAGATATAAATGAAGAAAGAGGGACGCTTATTATACGAAACTTTTCCAGATCCTAATAAATACTATATAGGATGTAAAATATATGAATGTAAAATGACCACAGTTAAGATTAAATTAAATAACCCTTTGGAAACATTAGAGGGAAGAATAATTTGTCATTTGAATCGTGGTATCCAACATACTAAAGAAATTCTACTCTTTAAAGGAATAAGTAGAGTACAAATACGTAAAGTAGAAAACAAGAAGTGTGCACTTCCTATTAACTTAACATTGTTGAATTCTTTCATTTCAAGCCGAACTTTTAGTAAAAATGAAGAAATTTGCTATATATATCCGATAGTAAGTAGTACTAGATCGTTTCTTTTCCAAGAGGAAACACAGTTATTAGTATACCAGATTAACTATACACATCAATCAACCCACGATGAGCTACTGGATGCTATAAAAAGTGGCAGCTCCACTGCTCCAGGAAAAGATGGAGTAACGTATGACATACTTAATTATTTAGCCGGTATGAAACCTAATCCCTTACTTGATTTGTTTAATATGAGTTATAGAGAGGGAAAGTTACCAAGAAAATGGAAAGAGGCTGTCATCATTCCTATCCCTAAGTCAAACGGAGGCTACAGACCTGTCTCCTTAATATCTTGCTTTTGTAAAATGATGGAAAGGATTTTGTTAAATAGGCTACTCTACCTTGTAGGTGATAACATGTCCAATAATCTCTTTGGTTTTATCAAAGGCAAAAGTACTGCGGATTGTCTCTTAAAGTGTTTGTCTAATGTGGATGACAATTGTAGAGTTTTTGTTGATCTACAAGGAGCGTTTGATAAAGCCAATGGGGAAGTAATCTTATACGAATTAGCCAATCTGGGAATAACAGGGAGATTGCTACACTGGATAAGGGATTACCTGCAAGGTAGAAAAGGTCAGGTGTATTACCAGGGATACATGTCTGAGGAACGGAGGTTTCAGTTAGGTACCCCACAAGGGGGAGTATTAAGTCCCACCTTATTCAATGTATTAATGAACAGATTAGCATCAGAGATGTATCCTCCAGGGGTCACGACGATCATATATGCTGATGACATTCTTATACAAGGCACTTCTGGGAACAAAATTCAAGATGCTCTTAACATACTTGGTACAACCTGTCACAAGTTAGGCTTAGTTATAAATGCAGATAAAACCAAATACGAGTATAGGAAACGAAGAAATATAACACTTACTCTAAATGGTGTGGAACTGAGCCGTGT